CTCCACCTCCTACTTCTGCCATCTCCTCTAACCTGTCCATGCTCTCTGCTTCTCCTGTTCTAGTCTTTTGCAAGGACCATTCCACGTGTCAAGACGGCTTTATGCATTCCATGGATTTTACTCTGGTTTTCAAAGCGTGGCAATGCTCTGGCACTGATTGTAATGATGCTGCTATATCTCAAGCCAATATGTTTGCACTTCCCAGTAATAATAGTACTCTTTACGTTTCATGTAGCACTTGGTGTAAAGTAAAGTGCAATATATTTAGGCGAAACCGGCAGTTGATTTACACACAGCAGTGTCCCATAAACAGACATAGAATGGTCTCTTCCTTTGCTGAAAATTTACTTCTGCGTTCAGTTCTGCACACTTCAGAGTTGAGCCCAGTTTTGAGGCAAGTGACATTTTGTTTTCATGTTGTACTACACTGTTCCTCCCCCAATGATTTCTCTCTCTCTCTCTCTCTCTCTCCCCCACCACCCCCCTCCCCATGCTTCTCTTTGAAGAAGTGACCTTCACTCAGCGATTGTGCTGGACTGCATGGCAGAGATTAGTAATCTAGCTGCAGCATTTAAAGATCAATGAGATTGCTGAGTGCAGTGTGTGCTCTGAAGTGCAGGGCTTGTGGTTATGAGGATGTAGTTTTGAACTAGTGATTACAAAACAATACAATTTACCTTTACTCTCTTCACAATGACTCCTCCAGTAGAAGGTAAGATACACTGAGAGCTGAGAAAGTTGAGGGGTGATTTAATCAAGGTATTTGGAGTCTTGTAGCTTAGTGGTTAGAGCACTCGTCTCACAAGCAAGAGGACCTGGGTTTGATTCTCGGGCAGGGGGAAATGTTAGGCAACCTTCCTTACTCCACGTGCCTAGGAACCCGGTTATTTTCCGGGGATAATAATCCCTTGAAATTTTTTTAAAAAAATAGTAATTTAGTCCCTCCATTCCTCAATTCACGGACCCATTCCCTCCTCTCAGCCGGCTCCGGGTGCTCCACGTCTCCCGACCCATCCGCCCCACCATTGGTGGGAGAACCTTCAGCCACTCTGCCCCCAACCTCTGGAATTTCATCTCCCAATCACTCCGCCTCGCCCCCTCCTTAGCCTCCTTCAAGTCCCACCTCAAGACCCTTCTCTTCGACCATGCCAAAGCCACCCCCCCTTCCCCTCCCCTCCCTTCTCCCCTCCTGACTTCAGCTCGGGTCGGAAATGCTGTACACTGTCCAGCACTTTGAGACGTCTTGAAGGCATGAAAAGGCGCTGTATCAAATGCATGTATTATTATTATTATTTAGGGAGGATTTGATTTTGATAAGGCAGCTTGTGACTTTTTTGTCCGAACGCGTGAGTTTGGCCGAACGCGTGAGTATGATTGTGAGGATGAATTTCTCCTCATGGAGATGAATGAGAATCTGGAATGTACTGTACTAGAAAGTCATAGGTAAGAAATCAGTTGTGGAATTGAAGACCCTTCCTTGGATCAGACATTAATCCGGCGTCCCATCTGCCTCTTTTGGTGGATGTTGATCCCAAGGCTCTATTTAAAAAGAGAGTTTCTCCCGGTGTCTTGACCACAATCTTCCAGATAAAATTGGTCCTTCATTTCATGGCTGTTTGGGGAACGTTGATGAATACAAATTGGCTTCTATGTTTATGTACAAATAGAGTCACTATCTTTTATAGTGAATCCTGACGCAGGTTTTGAGATGTCTTGATAAGGTGTTCTGTCAAATGCAAGGATTATTATACTTGGGATGTGAAAGTATAAAGGATTATGGTGGTGTGGGACAAGAGGGTTACAGTACACAAGCCATGGAATGACCTACAGTGACGCCTCCTCATTTACCAGGAAAAGGCCCACTTTCTGAGTGTTAGTGTTGTTTGGTTGATGGCTGTTTTTGGTAGTCGCTGTTCGTTTCGTTTTTGCTGCTTTTGTCTTGAAGAAGTCAAATGGAAAGGTTCACAGTGACAGACCTGGTGGGGGTGGCAGATATTGCAATGACAGATGTGGGGGAGAGAGGTTGAGGGGAGGAGTTTTTTGGTGACATAACGTTGTTGCGCGGAAATCTCGGTTAAAAACATTTTTTGGGCATCAGCCAGGTGTCTGACACATGTAGAAACTCATCACCATGCTTAAGACTATCCAAACCAAACTGAGAATTTCATGCACTCCACCTACACATGGAAATTCCCGAGATAGATTTTTGGAATGGAATCTCCCTGTTTACTCAATTACGGAAAATATTAGGGATAGATTGGCAAGAGCCAAGGCTTGGCGACTCCAGATTGGACGTTGCTGCACTGCTGGAGTCCAACCAACTAAAACCGGATAGCTAGCCATTGATGTATGGCATCAAGCTTTCCTGTTTTTTTTTTGCTGTTTATGTAATGAGTGCTCTCGCAGAATAATAATCCTTGCATTTGATATAGTGCTTTTCATGTCTTCTAGACGTTTCAAAGCGCTTCACAGAATATGTTGTAAAGTGAATTGACCGTATATTTGTGGGCGAAACACGGTAGCCAATTGCGCACAGCAGTGTCCCACAGTCAATCCACTTTACAATATATTCTGTGAAGTGCTTTGTGACGACTCAATAACGCGATAAGGTGCTATATCAAATACAAGGATTATTATTATTAAATTGGCTGCCACATTCACCTACAAGTTTTGTTTTGACATGAGAAGGCAATAGATGAAAAGCAGTACGATTTAATGCCAGGCAACTCAATGAACAAATAGAAGTACAAAGAGCATTCTGAGATCAGATTCCCCAGATAAGAAAGACAAGAAATGATTGCTTCTTACCATCCAATGATCCATAGCACAGAACAATCTACAGTGTAACTTTGTTTTACCTGTTTGTTTTGGATCCATAAAATCCCCAAAGCAAAGCATGACCACTGGTTTCTCAGTGCAGGTTCATAGTTGAATGGCACTTTAAGGGAAACATTGGCCAACTTCTGAATCATGGGAGGGGGTCACTGCTAGTGTTATTTTCTGCTTTGAGTGCGCACAGCAAAGTGGGAAGTGAAGTGAGTCATCTTACAACAACAACTTGGATTTATTTATCGCCCTCCACGCCGGACGGCGTCTCAGAGTGCTTCACAGTAACAGATACCGGGGTTGAGCCAGGGGGAGGGGGAGGAAGGTGACCAAAGGCGCGGTCGAAAAGAAAAGTCTTCAGCTGAGACCTGAAAATAGGAAGAGAGGGGGCGAGGCGAAGGGAGAGAGGAAGGGAGTTCCAGAACCTCAGGGCGGAGTGGCTGAAGGCACGACAGCCGAGGGTGGAGCGGAGGACTCTGGGGACAGGGAGGAGGCCACACCTGGTGGAACGAAGAATTTTAGCCCAAAACCCCCCCTCTCTTCCTATTTTCAGGTCTGAGTAGGCCAACTATACTTGTGGGCAGTGAATGGAGTTCATTGTGCAGCAGTGTTATAACACATTTGTGCTTAGTGAAGCATGTTATAATCAGACATCATCATTGTGAAAAATATTCCTTGCCTTAGAGGTTAACTGAACATTTTGTTGAAGGGATCCAAAAGACAGTAATAATCCTTGAATTTTGATATAGCGCTTTTCATGTCTTCTAGACGTCTCAAAGCGCTTCACAGACTATACTCTAAAGCGAATTGACTGCATTTTTGTGGGCAAAACGCTGCAGCTAATTGCCCACAGCAGTGTCCCACAAACAGTTGTGGATTGTAGTGACCAAATTATTACTGTTTTTTTTCTTGAAGAATTATTATCAGGTGTGTGGAGTAAGGAAACTTGCCCAAGGTTTCCCCCTGCTGGGAATCGAACCCAGGTCTCTCGCTCGTGACACGAATGCTCTAACCACTGAGCTACAGGACGTAACCACTAAATCTTGAAAAAGAGAGAAAATGGTCTGGTGGACAAACTTAAAATTATCAATGTCAATGGAGGTGATGTATGTTTAAAAACATAAATCACTATTGTATTTTGAAAAGAGGTTTAATTCTGCTGCACACATTGCAGATTCTAGCTTTAGAAAAAAGTTTACATGTTTCATAAGGGTCAAATATTTGGAATAGTCATCTTCAATTTAAGGTTTGTTCTCAGGTAAGAAACATGAACCAACACTGGTCAACATTAAGGCTGGTCTTAAGAGTGGAAATCACTTTTTCCAAATTTGAAATATTGAGAACATGAACAGATTGGGTTTAATGCAGATTGAAACCACCCAGGATTTTTTTTAATAATAAAGCAGTAAGTTAACAATATAGCTCAGAAATTGAACGAAATAGTGGTGCTCTGCAGCAATAGGATTTACGTTGGCTTCCCTTCTAGCTTGGTAATTGATTGGCTCAACTTCGCAGCGAGGTCACCTCGATCATAGGCATCGTTGCCGACAACTTCCAGTGACTTGGTCTTAAATTTAGATCTCAGGTAGTTAGAAATCAGATCAGAAAATACTTCTTCACACACAAGTTAATGGTAATGTGGTCCAGAATTGATTGCCGTGTTTAAAAGGGAGAGAGAGAAATGCTCAAAGTAAGGGCATTAAGGGATTTGAAGAAAAGTGGGGAATGGGATTAAAAGATCAGCCAAGATCTAATAAAATGGTAGAACATGTTTGACTGGCAGAATGCCCTCCTGTTCCTAAGGTGCATGGATAAGTGAGGAAGATTATTGCTTAGGCAAGAGAGTTCATTTCCTGTTGTTAGAGGTGTTGTAATGATTTCTAAGCACCACATCTCTTATGATACTCTCTTAAGTGCTCAGAGATCTTTATCCTAGGTGAAGTACGCTAAATAAATGTAAGTGGGATGCATGGAAATCGCAGCTTGGTTTGGATATTCTTAAGCATGGTGATGGTTTCCGCATGTGTCAGAGACCCGGCTGACCAAAAATTTTTTTAAATGCAAGTTGTTGTTGTGATGGAACTTTTATATGATGAACTCATCACAAGTGTGATTTTTGCTTGCTTCATTTCTGACAGTAGCATTGACAATAATATGTTCTTCATTATCAACAGCACGGCAAAATACAGTGTGGTGACATTCCTGCCCCGGTTTATGTATGAGCAGATCAGAAGAGCTGCCAACGCTTTCTTTCTCTTCATAGCCTTACTACAGGCAAGTTCAGCGCTGGCGTGTGTGTGATCAGTTAAGACTTACAATACAATTTACACCGGGAGAACATCCTGTGGATCTAAACTCCTCAACCTTCCTGGGCTCTCCCTCAGACTCACCGAACCAGTGCACAACCTGGGAGTCCATTCGACCTTCAGCTGTCCTTACTCCCACACAACTGGTCCCTGACTAGGACCGCTTTCTTCCACCTCTGCCACATTGCCCGCCTCCAACCGTACCTTACCCCAAATGCAGCCGAAACCCTCGTCAATGCGTTTGTCACCTCCCGCTTGGATTACTCCAACACACATCTCATCGGTCTCCCCAGCTCCACCAATCACAAGATCCAGCTTAAACAAAACTCTGCCGCCCGCATTCTGACCTGGACCAAACTCCATACCCACATCTCACCAGTTCTGGCCAGGCTCCACTGGCTCCCCATCTCCGAACGGATCGACTTCAAAATCCTCACTCTCATGTTCAAATTCATTCACTCCCTGGCACCTCCCTACCTCTCCAACCTTCTCACTCCCCAATCCACCTCCCGGCACCTCTGCTTGACTGGCACTGGCCTCTTGCTCGTCGCTCTCACCCACTGCCCCACCATCAGTGGTCGTGCTTTCAGCCACTGCATCCCAAAACTTTGGAACACTCTCCCTCAATCCCTCCGCCTTGCTCCCTCTCTCCCCTCTTTCAAGTCCCGCCTGAAAACTTTCCTGTTTGACCGTGCTTACGGCTATCTCCCCCCCCTTCCCCCCCACTCGGAGTCAGACTCCACCACTGTTAAGTGCTGTGAGATGCTACCCTGGGTGGAGGGCGCTATATAAGTGCAAGTTGCTATTGTTTTTGTTATCTCAAAGCACTTTTGTCTTAGATTTTTGATTGGTTTAATTTTTTGTCTTAAGATCATTGCAGTAAAGTAAACGTAATGAAATTTCCATTTAAATAATAATAATGAAAAATCCTTGCATTTGATATCGTGCCTATCACATCGGGAGGAAGTCTCAAAGCACTTCACAGGATTTACTGTTAAGTGTAGTGGACTATGCATTTAATAGGAAAACACCGCAGCCAATTTGCATACAGCAATGTTTTACAAACAGCCATGAAGTAATCACCAATTTTATCTGGATTGTTGGCCAAGACACCAGGCGAAATTCCCTCCTCTTTTCGACTAGTACCATGGCACTTTTCATGTCCAGCTGAACAGCCAGACAAGACCTCAGTTTATCTTCTTATCCAAAGGACGACATCTCCAACAATGCAGTGCACTTTTATCACTGTATTTGAGTATCAGTCTAGACTATGAGTTCAGAGTCCTGATATGGGGCTTGAATTCACAACCTTCAAACTTAGAGGGAGATTCTACCAACTGAGACAGGCTACCTGATTTAAACTCAATAGTTTCAACCAGCACTAAATGAGAGCTTCCTTAACCCATTCCTTCTCCTCAAAAGATTGTTGCACGAGACAAATTGAATAATTGAACAAACCTGAGTAGAAACTTGATGCACACACAAAGGAGAAGGGAAGCAAGGGAGGGAGAGGAGGTATGAGAGAGTTTAGGAGGGGCGGAAGCTTGTGTGGAGTATAAACAGCAACACTGAATGGTCGGGCTGATTGGCCTGTGTCTGTGCTGTAACTTTCTACGTATTTTCTGTGCACAACAAACAACGATTTAGCAAGGAAATCCTGTGGGATATTTGCCAGAGAATGAATCCCTAGCATATGGCCTCTGTACCTCCTGTGGATGTGAAGGGTTCCAGGCAGGGCGAAACCTTGGGCAAGTTTCCTTACTCCACATGCCTAATAATAATCCCTCCAAAACAAAACATTAATGAATTGATCATTTTCAATCCACGACTGTTTGTGGGACACTGCTGTGCGCAATTGGCTGCCGCGTTTCACCAACAAATATACTTCAATTCACTTTACAGTATATTCTGTGAAGTGCTTTGAGACATCGAGAAGATGTGAAAACCGCTATATCAAATGCAAGGATTATTATAAGGATGTGATTTGCTGCAACATTGGTTCTTCACTTGGCTGAATGTCTGAAACTGAGGAAACCCACATATGTTAAGGTGGAGGTTAGAAGAAACCTTTTGTTTTAGGCATTCGCTTATAAGTACACAGTCACTTCACTTTACTGTAAAATCATGTGAAGCGTTTTGAGAAGTTTCGACAATGTGAGACAACACTATATCAAGTGCAAGGGTTATTATTACTTTCATGCCGAGAATGTGGAATACTTTACCATTTGTGGTTATTGAGGCTGAGCTCCAGCTTAACTCAAGATATTTTTCACAGCTCATCTCTCTAACACTGGGGTTTAGGCTTGTAGTGCTCCTTTATACTGCATCTAGGTCTAGAATATTTCCCTTATATTACTGTATATAGCTGGAGCTCTTAAATCATGGGATCAATGACTGTGTGCAGTCCTCTAGGTGTGGCCTGACCAGAGTTTCATACAGGCATGTCTTCTGTGTTCAATAATTTGCTAAAGTACGGATGCTCTGGAATGCTAAATAAGTACCGAGCCAGGGTAGAATTTCTACCCCAGTCAACCTACTCCTCCAGGATTCTTTCAATTTCCTCCTTGGCGGGTTCTGTCTGCTCCAAATGCAGTACCTTGCAATCATCTGCAATGAACTTGATTTCCAATGATCAGCCCAGGTGCATACCTGTACAGTTCTCTCTCTGAGGTCCTGGCTGACTATTCTGATTCCGCAACCCACCTATCTTGATGCCACCTGTAAATGTAACTGCTTTGCACAGAGTCTCTGAGTTCAGGTAATTAACTGTACTGGAACAGGAGCTTTCCCAGTTGGAACCACTGAGACATCCACTCAAGCTCAATAATCCACTCTTCCCACTTCATCCTACTCACACTTAATCCTTCATCCTCATTCCCTACCCCCTCCTGCTCACAGTCAGTGCAGGCTGACCCCAATATAGTGCGGGTCCACTTCTGACAGACAGCTTCCTGTGCATAGCGAGCAGGCGCAGTAGAAAGGAAGTGGCATCAGAGGGAAACAAGATGACCTGGAAGCACTGACTGGCAGACATTAATGTGCCCCATTCTAGGGGGAGGGCAAGTTTATAGACCCAAAACACCGAGTTATAAAAGCGTCAGCCCATAACTTTTCCCCCTGTTCCACTCACGTTGAAGCCTCGCCCCATTTTGATAGCTCGCCTGAGAGAGTCTTCCTGTCTACTATTACTTTTATCTCCAAAGGGAATTGGCTCATAGTGAAAAAACGTGTGTGCTCCTTAGCTTACTGTTCGGTTGGGTGACCTTCAATATCCACTTGTGTTTGATTTACTTTTATGGCCTGAAATCTCATCTGTCTTTTTTATGGGAAGTTCCTGCCCACATGTGTCTACACAACACCGTTTAGTTTATCACTAATCTATGATATTATGTAAAATACTTCAAAACATTCCTTAAAAATGTGAAAGGAGCTATATAAATGCAAGTTGTTATTAAAGGGGAGAGCTGATGAAAGTAAGATCTAAATGCACTATACTTAATTGTTTACTGTTATTTTACTGTAAACTCAGCAGAATGTATCATTGATCAGTATAATGTCTATTGAATGTCTCCCAACCAGTTCAGTAATGATTTGTTGGAGTGACTGTATGGCAGTCTGCATCTTTATCACTGCAGTGTAATTTATAAATGTAATTTTGTTGTTGTTGTTGCAGTGTTTTTAGCAGGATACAGTAGCACAGTCTACATGGTTAAGCATGAAAAAAAACATCACGTTTAGACCAGACCAATGCAGTGAGAGTCCAAAGTTCAGTGGAGGCACATCACTGCTTAAAAAGAGCAGTTGGTGTGATTATGTTCTAACCTTATTAATCCAGGTTGTTACTTTACTCAGGTGATACTAATAACTTTATCCGCAATGACCTTGACCTTGACCAATCAAACTGTCCGTATTTCCAAGTGGCCAGGTATTCGATGAATCTCTGAGTTAATGTGCTTATCTAAACACCTACACTACATTTTCTCAGGCTCTGTAACGACCACTTTCTGATGTGGGGCAGAGATGGTTAATCCATACGCAATGCTTTCAGCTATTGCCAAAGTAGTGAGTTAGGAGGGCACAGACTCAGGGTTGTGAAGGACATGTTTAGGATTGACACCAGCAAGTATTTCTTTAAACAGAGAACAATTATCAGCTGGGACAGGTTACCAGGAACAGTGGGAGAGGCCAGGACACAAGTCTCATCATGCCATAATAGGAACTTGATAGGATTAGTATTCCCAAAGGTTTTGATCATATGGGCCAAAGGGCCTTCTTCACCCACCTGTCTTGCGAGGCAGAGAGGCTGACTGAATGATTCAGTACGGGTACGTAAGCAGGAATACAGGGGAGAAAAAACTATATAGAATATAAGAATGCCCCAAATTTATTTTTAAATATTTTCCTTTCTTTCTTACATAGCAAATTCCAGATGTCTCCCCAACAGGAAGGTACACCACTCTGGTGCCACTCATCTTCATTCTCACAGTCGCTGGGATCAAAGAAATCATTGAAGACTATGTGAGTTGGTTTATTTCAGTACTCAATGCTGATTGATTTCTGATTAAAAAAAAGGTGGAATGACATTTAGAGCAGATTAGCACATAATTAAAATATCCAAAGGTAGCAACCCCGCTCTTCTCCCAATATTGTGACAGTGCAATACAAATACAAAATATTCTACATTTATATAGCGCCTTTCACATCGGGAGGAATGTGCTTCACACAGCTGGCTGGGCATCTGAGCTCGGGGTGGGGGGTAGGCGGAGGTAGAGGAAGGCTGATGAGGGTGGAGGAGAAGGAGGAAGAATAGCTGAAAGCTCATCCATCGATGGTGGGGTGGATTGGGCAGGGGACTTGAAGCAAGCCATTGTTTGCACAGACTGAAATATCTGGGAGGAGACATTTGGTCTTGCTTGGAACTGTGTTTGAAAAGAACTCGCCAAAGCTGACAGAATAGATTCTGTCTTTTTAAATGTTAATTTTCTGAATATAGACAAAGAAATCTAAAAGATAAGATGTCTTTGTATCTACTGAACTCTTTAAATGCTCAGTCAATGAACCCAAGAGTGATAACCCTTTTCTTGGTTTAGTCTTGTTCAATGCTGGAGTACTCAACAACATATGGATTCTGTCTAAAGTTTGACATTAAAGAAATGCTCTAGGTTTTGATTCGAATTAAATTGAATGCAGACTGGTAATGACGAGGAGACTACCCGGGCTCCCTTTTCCCCCTCCTCATTTCTTATTTCCCATGTCAATTCAACTTGAAGGCTTCTTCTATTTCCAGCAAGATCGACCTCTGTATTGATTTCTTACTATGGACTTCTTTGAAAAGTTCATCAAACAACTATTCCACAGGGATAAAGAGACTTCCATTGGAGATATCAGTTTGTTGCATCCCCAAATAGGAAAAGAGAATGTTCCAGCGACGAAGAAGAAGTGGCACCCGGTTTTACACACTGAGCAAATGTATCAGAACAGCCATATATGGAAGCTTATCACCAAGTCGATCTCGGAGGACTATGGTGTTCTGAAGGAAGATGAAGGAATTGCTATAAAACACTATAAAACTATCCCCATTACATCATTACAAATCTTATCCTCATTGAACCATTACAGACCCAACCCAATTACATCACCACAGACCTACCTCACTAGTCTTCAAAATGTATGGGTGGGACAAGCCTTCCCTTCAGCCTAGAATGACGCACTGTGACAACTTGTTCTCAAACATCCATAAAGTATTGTCAGTGTTAGTGATTGATTAACTCGTTCATGCTGAGAAATTGACACTTCAGAAGAGCAGTTGCTTTACTGTTCTTTGCCATTTTCAACACAAATTTTTGTCATGCAGGCTTCTACTGTTAACAACAACAAGATTCCATTTATAGAGCGCCTTTCACGTCGGGAGGACGGGAGGCTGTACAGTTGGGTCAGGACCCGAGCAGGGAGGAAATGGTCAGGGTGAGGGGAGGGAAGGGAAGGAGCGAGGAGGGGGTAGAGTCGAGAGGGGAGCTAAAGACATGGTCAGAGAGAAAGGTCTTGAGACCGGCCTTGAAGGAGGAAAGGGAGGAGGCGGCGAAGGCACTGGGGGATAGAGTTCCAGAGCCTAGGGGCTGAGAGGCTGAAGGCCCGGCCACCGATGGTAGGGCGGTTGGGGCGGAGGATGTGGAGCAGACCGGAGCCAGAGGAACGGGGGGTACGGGCAGGTAGGTAGGGGGATAGAAGGTCAGAAAGGTAGGAGGGAGCAAGGCCGTGAATGGCCTTGTAGGTGAGGATGAGGATCTTGAATTCGATCCTCTGGGGGATGGGAAGCCAGTGGAGGCGAGCGAGGGTGGGAGTGATGTGGTCGCGAAGCCTGGTGCGGGACAGTACACGAGCTGCAGAGTTCTGAATGACCTGCAGCTTGTGGAGGGTGGTGCCAGGAAGGCCGGCGAGGAGAGAGTTCCCATAGTCCAGCCTTGAGGTGATAAAGGCGTGGACCAGAGTTTCAGCAGCGTGAGGGGTGAGGTAGTGCCGTAGTCTGGCGATATTCCGGAGGTGATGGAAGGCGGTGCCAGTTGTGGCGCGGATATTAGGGAGAAAGGACAGCTCAGGGTCGAACGCTGAGGTTCCTGACTGGCTTTGAGAGGTGGAGAGTGCAGCCTTGGATGCTGATGCTGTCAGCGCCTGAGGTGCGGAGGCGCTGACGTGAGCCAATCAGGAGGGCCTCAGTTTTACGCACGTTGAGCTGAAGAAAGTTGTCTCTCGTCCAGGACTCGATGTCGGACAGGCAGCTGTCAGGACATCGGTGGTCATGGAGTTGAGGGTAGAGGAGGAAAGGTAGAGTTGGGTGTCATCCGCATACATGTGGAAGTTAACCCCATGTCTGCGGATGATGTCACCGAGGGGGAGCATACAGAGGGTGAAGAGGAGGGGACCGAGGACAGAGCCCTGAGGGACACCGCACGAGACAGTGCGGGGGCCGGAGGAAAAGCCGTTCGTTAAGTAAAATTCTGAAACTTAACATTGATGCAAGTTACTTGCTTGTGTCAGTGAGACAGTTTTATTGAATCAAATTTAGTGAATTCTACATTGATCCTCACCTGAGCAAGTTTAATGGCTGATTTTTGTCTATATGTTATTATTGTATTATAGTCCACTATAATCTATCAAGTTGATGTCGAGTTTCTCAAGTGGACGGAAGGGCTGGATAAATCGTTAAAGAATGGCTGCTAATTCCAATGGTTTAATGTTTCCCCTGTATTCACAACCTCTTATTCTTGGCACTGTCTGAAAATTCTGGTTTCAGACTGGCTCAGTGAGGTGGAGTGTGCATCCATCATCGTTCTACTCCAAGACAATCTTGCAGGCCAACGACAACCCCAGACTCCTCTTCTCCATCACCAACCGGCTCCTCTGCCCGCCCTCTCAAGCCTCGCCCATCCTCACCTCCAATGCCAACTGCGAGGCAATGCTGGACTTCCTTGAATCCAAAGTTGAGGGGCTCCGCTCAGATGCCTCTGGCATTCCGTCTGCTACACCCTCCCCATCTCCCCCTCCCACCCAGGTCCCTACCCATCCCACCCTCCATACCTTCGAACCTGTCTCCCACTCCTCTCTCACCACCACTATAACCCGCATGAAACCGACCACCTGCTCCCTCGACCCTCTCCCTACCCCTCTCCTTACCTCCCAGCTTCACCTACGGTTTCTCCTCTAGCCCCCGCACTGTCTTGTGAGGCGTTCCTCAGGGCTCTGTCCCCTCCTCTTCAATATCTATATGCTCCCACTTGGTGACATCATCCACAGACATGGAGTCAACTTCATCATCCGACTGTACCTCTCTGCCTCCACCCTTGACTCCAAGACAAGTACTGTCAGACATTAAGTACTGGATGAGAGCTAACTTCCTTCAGTTGAACGTCAACAAAACTGAGGCTCTCCTGATTGGCTCCCATCAGCGCCTCCTCACCTCAGGCGCTGGACAGCATCACCATCCATGAATGCACACTCCACCTTACTAAGCCAGTCCGGAACCTTGGCTTCTTGTTTGACCCTCAACTATCCTTTCTACCCCCCATCCATGCCATGATCCGCTCTGCCTTCCCCCATCTCCGCAACATCGCTGGCTCCGCCACTGTCTCACACTGCAGGCCGCCGAAACCCTCATACACGCATTCATAACATCCAGCCTTGACTATGCAATCTCCTTGCTTGTTGGCCTCCCCAACTCCTCCTTCCATAGGCTGCAGATCATCCAGAACTCTGCAGCCCATGTCCTCTCCCACACCAGACTCTGTCACCCCCATCCTCACCCGACTCCACTGACTTCCCATCACACAGCGGATACAGTTCAAGATCCTGGTCCTCACCTTCAAAGTCCTCCATGGTCTTGCTCCCCCGTACCTCTGCGACTTCCTAACCCCCTACCATTCTGCCCACTCTCTCTGCTCAACGGGCTCCAGCCTGCTTCATGTCCCCCACCTCGTCTGCCCCACCATTGGCAGGTGGGCCTTCTGCCACACTGGTTTCACCTCCATCTCGCAGTCCCTCCACCTCGTCCCCTCCTTTGTCTCCTTCAAGAAGCATCTGAAGGCCCTCATCTTCGACCGTGCTGTCAATCACCCTGCTTCCCCCACCTGCCCTCCACCCTTCCCAATCCCGACTGTCCAGTGCCTTGGCATGTCCTCCCGACGTGAAAGGTGCTATACAAATGTAATTTTGTTGTTGTTGTGACGCTGCCAGTGCCTGAGGTGTGGAGGCGCTGATGGGAGCCAATCAGGAGGGCCTCAGTCTTGTTCAAATGTAGAAAGCAGACTCTCATCCAAGACTTGATGTCTGACAGACATTCTGTCAGGACAGCAGTGGTCCTGGAGTCGAAGATGGAGGCAGAGAGATATAGTTGGGTGTCATCTGTATACATGTAGAAGTTGTCCCCATGTCTGCGGATGATGTCACCAAGAGGGAGCATATTAAAGATATTGTTCATATAGATATTGAAGAAGAGGTGCCAAGGACAGAACACGAGACGCTGTGAGAGCTGGAGGAAAAGCCGCTTGTGGAGACAAAGTGGAAACAGTGTGAAAGTGACCAATTTTATCTGGACCAGGACACCAAATTCCCTTCTCTTTTCAAATCGTGCCGTGGGATCTTTAATGTCTACTTAAACAGGTAGAGATGGGACCTCAGGTTAATATCTCACCCGGGTGACGGCATCTCCAAAATACAGCGCTTCCCCCTGCACTGTACTGGAGTGTCCACCTAGACTATATAAGTTCAAAATCCTAACATGGAGCTTGAACCCACAGCTTTCTAACTCAGAGGCGCAAGTGCTACCGACTGAATCAGGTTGAGATGCTGGAAGGGCACAGGATCTGAGAGAAAAAGTATGAATGTGACCTTTCATTGTGACTTGTATTTTCTGGTTTTGTTTCAGATTTGCTGCATTTGAATTTTTCAAAAATCTCTCAAGAAATGTGCTTGATTGTCCTTCAGCCAGTTTAATCAGCGGAAATTGCTTTGTGTTCCAGAACCTC